AAAGAAATTGAATGTTTGGACGTTTTTAACGAAATAATGTAAAAAATGATTTGCCACAATTAACACTGCTCACCTTTTGCGGAGTGAATACAAACATTAGCGCCAAGATGGCGGCCGCACCCAGAACAACAGGAGAAATACGGTGTCCCACAATGGACAAAAAACAACACCTAGTGGCCTGTCAAGGCTGTTACCTTACATAAGCATTTAGCTAAGAGCCAAAGAATGCTGTTTAATTTGACTGTATTAATGTGAAACAGAGGTTTTGGCAAGTTGTGTGAAACAACTCCTGGATCACTATCTCAGGAAAAAATAATGGCTTGCATTTCCACTCTCGATACATCTGTTGCAAAAAAACAATTCTCCCCCCTTTTATCTCCAAACAAGCATCCAATATTTAAAACTGGCAACAGACCAGGGTGTGAAATTCATCAGGTTTTTCAAAAGCACTTGCTCTGTATACAGTCATGTGTATGGCTCTGGACAAAAGCTGCTCACATTGTGTCAGCCATAGCCTGGCTTTTAGGAATGACTCAGGGCCGAAGCTCTTCTGCTGTGAAGTTGTGTGATTTATCAAGATAAGGGCTGAGTATGATCTAATATAGCTTATTTCCTACAGGAGTCATATCACTTATTTAAGGAATGTCCTGAGAATCTGTCAGATCTAATGAAGGGCACATTGTTGTGTGGATGTCTTCAGCAATCGAGGAACATTAATGCAGATTTTGACGTTATTACATAAGAACATGTGCTTGCGTAACTGTAATACAAGGTTTCCGCACTTCTGTCACATCTGGGTTGTTGCATCCACTTTTTGATGTGTTTTCTTGTTAATCCGCAGAGAGCAAAGACAGAGAAGAAGAAGGGAAATGGCCCTGCTTGGGTATACTTAGACCTGATGGTTAAGGAAACATTATCTAAACGATATGGCTGATAAGGGTTAGAAAAAGGAAAACAGTGTGCTTATGAGCAATTACGTAACTCGCCTCTTTAAATCTGGTAGGCTCTCCTGTGAACAGCTCAATTGGGATTTGTCGTTTCTCATAGGGACCAAAGGATCAAGAAATGTCTTGTTCCCACCATACTCCCTCTGACTATCCCTTATAGTTTATCTATCATACAACTCATAATAGATTATCTTTGTTTCTGTTTCCGTCTTTCTTTAGATTTCTGCCGTTTCTGTTCTCTGTCTTGTCTGTTCCTCTCCCACTTTTTCCTCTTCCCTCTGCTCTGTGAACAACTTAATGGACTTTGAATGGGTTTTTAAGAAAGCCAAACCTTTGTGGTTTGGACAGCATGTGATGGTCAGGCGGACTGAGTTTGAGGTGCTGTCACACATCTGCATTATACAACTAAGGAGTGGATAGGGTTACCGCTCTAAAACGACTAAGTCAAAACAATTTGTTCATTATGAGTCCGTAAATGAGCTGTCACATGATCAAACTTCAACAGATGGATTCATTTGAATGTATATATTGAGTATGATGTGACCAGGCGCACATTTTATTACAAAATGAACTTTTTAAATGTTGTACCTCATGTGTTGTCCATCTGCTTTGCTTGGATATACATTAACCCAGAACCTAAAGCTGCTGTTAGGAATATTTGTACTTATTTAAACAATGGATGGACAGGTATCATGTGTAATGTCCTACAGTAGGGGTTGCTCATAGTGATGAACCTACAGATAACCCTAACCCTTTTTACTGACAGTTGATTTTTATTCTAACAAGACAATAAATCATCTTGTTCACATATTGTTAGCAACATATCGTTAGCAACATGGCAACAATTAGCAGCCTGGCTATCTTTTGCCAAATATACTTCCCACTTTAAACATTGCTCTGGTTGTTCAGCACCTGGGGGAACCATTTTTAAAATTGTAATTTACAATGCCTCATAGCGAAATGCTCAAGCTGTTATGTCCAGGGCTTTTATTGTGAAAGGGTGTAGGGATAGAATTGCATCCTGAAAGGGAGTCGTATAAAGAACTAATCTAAATGCCTACATTATTATACAGCCATTCTTTGTGCAACAAAACAATACTTCATAAGTAAAGAGACACCTTTTCATTTTAAGGTACATTTTTTGTCAACAGCGCCATTTATTCACTCCGCTGCTGAACAGTTTTGTTTACACGTTGAACATTAGTTGAGGGTCATTACAAACTATAGGCTAGGAATATGCGTGACACACTTACATATTGGAAAAAACTACCCGCTGATTTTGGACGATAGGAAACCCCAAAATTAAAGAAAACACCTGCATGCGTGTCGTAATGGAGTGCTGGGATATCAAAAACTGCCAAAACAGCTTTATAAAGGGTGTGACACCGACTTAATGATCCCACTGGTGTTCATTTGGGTTGAGGTCTGGGACAGCAAGAGGGTGTTTCCATTGCAGCTGAATGGGCAGGTTGCAGCACCTGAGCAGATGTTACCCCTTTTTAACTATTATACTGTTCCTCAATATAAGGTCTCAGATATATACAAAACATGTCTCTGAAGTGTTTGGCTCGATATACCAAACATAATTGTAGCATCCCATAATCCCCTCTGTTTCAGCCCTGTTTCAAAAGTGCTGATTCTCTGTCTGTTACTTTAGATGAAAATAAGGAGCTGCTCCCCACGCCCCTCTGATGCCCCTTTCACACCAACGTGGTTCCAGGGCCGGTTCGGAGCTAGAGCCTGATAAGCACCGGTTTTTCCTGTTCACACCGCAGCGGAGCCGGCTCTTTCCCCCGAAAACTGGTTCTTACCAAGCTCCAAAAAATTGTCGGCCTAGAAGCAAGAACCGCATACGTCACGCTTACGTCGGAGGCGGGGGCAGGGGCGGGATCAACCTGAGCAATGAGTACGGCAAATAAAAGTTGTAACAAGCAGTAGCACTGAGCAAAGTGACAGAATGCAACTACACACTTGTAAAAAAGAAACACACTTTATAAAGTCAGGCAACACTAACCAGGCTTCGTGTGATTCTGTTTATTTGTACCTTACTTTGACCATCCGCTCGCTGTCATTGATCATTGTGGAGAGCAGGCAGACGTTTTGTTTTTTATTATACCTCTATCGGATGGAATCAATACATGGGCTGCACAGGTTGTCATGTCCGACTATCACAAGTAGAATCATAATGAAAAATATGTCGGTAAAATGTGCCTGTAGAAAACGGCTTATGCCACAATAGGATAGCAACAACAAGTAGTCAAGATATTCAGTTTAGCTTTGGTTGCTATGCTAACATCACCCATTTTATACCAGAGAAACTTTCATAACAGCGTTGTGATGCCAAACACCAGGCAGCGCTGCAGCGGTCGGTAAATGCCGCTGAAACACATTAATAAACAATGAACCACGGCACTCTGGAGAAAAGTACAAGGGTTGAGAAGTAGTTATTTAATTTAATCTGGCTTCCTATGATTAAAAGCAACATGATCATCGACCCGACGCAGTCCCCCGTTGTTGTTGTTGTGAGCGCCGTTGGGGAGAAAATCAGCGACGTAAACGGGGACGTCATGACGCAGCCGTGGCAGCACCAGTCGGGCTCTGGGCGGTGTGAACAAAACAGGGGCTGAAAAGTAAAACCGTCTCTAAACCAGAAGAGCGCAGGCACGGAGCTAGAACGGGAACCTCATTGGTGTGAAAGGGGCAAAAGAGAGTCACACATAGCCCCCGCTGATCAGCTGATCACCTACTGAGAGCTGCAGAGTTTCATTCAGACTATTTAAAAAAACAACGGTCTAATTTTATCATTGCACAACAATGAACTCAATGTGTGATTGTTATAGCAGTAATATTAAACAGTAATAATACAGTAAACTATTAACACTGTACATATTCTTGTTTGCCCGTGGTGAGATGACGAAGCTCCATTAAAAATAAACCTCTTTTAAGTGAATTACTGAGTTTAGGCACGTTAATACAGTTTTAATGAAGTTGATTACAGCAAATTCATGTTTGTTAGTGCTTTCATGTCAATTCACCGAACATATGATATATTAAATGATCGTGAGGATGATGATTAAAAATCGTTTGTTTGAGCCGGGCTGGATTTCCTGATGAAAAAACAAACCGATTGTTTTTGTAGTTGTAGTACGCCAAAGTGGATTAAACAACATTATTTTGTTAAATAAAAACATGGTGATGTTTTGTAAATGATTACATATCTCTTATTTAGCACATAATATGATCCTAACGTGACATATGGATCTTAACAAAGATCTGCTATATCAGATACCTGTAGATCTATCAGCTGTTTCACATGAGTTCCAGTGTGGCAGTTTTTTTAATTACTGCTCCCCCTGGTGGATCCATGATCCATTGCAGCTGGTTTCATTATCATTTATCAAGGGGGCGTATCAAGTCTGAAACGTATTCACTACGTCATAAGGGGGGTTTTCCTTTCGGCGAGGATCAACTCCGTGCCGATCACGGCCCCACTGCGGTAGGGACGCACGAAATTAGGTGCTACATCTGTAAGTCAAAATCTCAGGAAATTTCTGCAAAATTATCCTTTCTTGTTATGTTTTTTCAAATATCATACTCAAGTAAGGTACCTCAATGTGATATTTTGAGTGCATACTGTAAGTACTTCTTACTGCGAAGTTTGGTAAAATACACTATNACTACACACCTACGCAATGATTACATTCAGGCAGACTGTAGAAAACAACCTCTTTGGACAATTTATATACCGTAATTTTCGGACTATAAGCCGCGCCTTTTTTCCCATTTTTCGAACCTGCGGCTTATATAACGGTGCGGCTAATCTATGGATTTGTACAGCTAACGGCCACTAGGGGACCTCCTAAATCTATGGATTTTACAGGTTACAGTCCACCACCTTTAACTCTATGGGCTCTATGGCCGGTNAGTTTTAACTTATATGATTTAACAAAAACAAAAAACGGCAAAGTGGCAAGGCTTGCCCACCCTGCGTTGGGGGGGCACAGTGACTCATTTGGGGGGGCATGGCCCGCGAATGACCCCCCATGACGCCGAATGCCCCCCCAAATGAGTCACTGTGCCCCCCCAACGCAGGGTGGGCAAGCCTTGCCACTTTGCCGTTTTTTGTTTTTGTTAAATCATATAAGTTAAAACTTTTTTGTGTGAAATACATCAGAAATAAAAAATACAAATATGAAACACAGCCTGAGGTGTGCTCACTGCTGCTCTCTGATTGGTGTGTTGCTTGACCAATGACCCCCGACCTTTGTTTTGTTATCATTCCGTGGCTGTGTGTTTAGATGAAAGCCCAGTGGTGATCTGTCCATCTGTTACACTGATTATACAGTAAAGCCATCGAAAATAATATGATATACAGTACAGTACAAGTACATGGGTCTCTGTGTTTCATTCAAGCTCGGCTCTGTGTGTGTGTGTGTGTGGCACGAGCGCATTTTGTGAGTGCGCGAGCGGTAACGTGGAATGTTGTTGTTAGCATCTGGTTAGCTCGCTATGCTAACGGATATAAAGAGCTGTTTCTACACCAAGGTGGAGGAGAGTCCAATCCTGTCAGACTGAGAGGACCGTATAACCTCAGCTCAGTGAGGTAAGGACTCTCTCAGTGTTTAGATAGTTAACTTTAGTGTAGGTTATCTCAGTGGGTCTAGTCTAGCCAAAACCAATAATTCGTCATTTTAGTATATATAAATAAATAAGATTATATCTTGACCTTATTTGATGAAAAACACAGGTTGAATGATTAAGAATGCAGCTTTGCAGAGAGTATCTGGTCAGGTTTGTGGTGTTTATACCAGCTGTGTTATGGCCACATTGCTTCCCTTCTGATGAAACAATGCATTCGCTTTTTTTTTCCGCCTCATTGTAGCGAAAATGGGCCCAAATNGATTAGTTGAGCAGCGGTTGGGTGGAGGAAAATCCAGGCGGACGATCAACGGGGGCACGTCCAATGACGCGCAGCAGGCGGGCAGCGACCGAGTCGGAGCTCTGGGCGGTGTGAACAAAATGGGGGCTGAAGATAAAAACCGGGTGTCCAAACCAGAGAGCACGACGCGACGCGCACGGGAGGACCGCGATTGTGGTAAAGGGGGCATGAGAGATATTTGGTTAAGAAATAACACATGTGGCTCTAGGAGGGCAGATTCAGGTGATAAGGGGGGGGGGCGGCGGGGCGCGAGCGAGTGGCTAATGGTTAGCACAAGACCAAAATTGATTTTATGAAATCATAGAGTGGCCATAATCTGATCAGCTCATATTCAGACAGGTTTTTATATAAATGGATCAGGACAAAAAGAGAGAGAATATGTCTTCCTTTTAGAGTGTCTTTACACAGAGGGGACACATGTTTATGAATAAAAGACAAGAAAAAGTGGATTTTGCATAATAGGTGACCTTTAAAGAATTCCAACTAGTCCAAGTGCTGACATCTGCATCGTAACACGGTGCAGAAGAGCACTGTAAAAAAGACCTTTGGCTTCCAATCTGCATGGGGGTGATTATATCAGAACACGCCCCTTCTGTCGGATCGTCTTCCCTGTCCTCACAGGTCCTGCTAGAGGTATGATATCGGATGACACATTCCCACACCCCCAGTCAGGCATGGGAGAGCGGGTTGGGGGGGGGTGAATTCACACGCGCCTCGCCGCCTCTGTTAGAACTGGTCTGCGAAGATAAAGATGCAGACACCTACGCATATGACCCGCCTCGAGATGTCCTTGCGCACGTAAACTGTAAGAGTGGAAAATGCATACACAAATGTACACTGAGATAAGAGAGGGGACAAGCTGAGGCTTTCCACCAGATTAAGATGACTATCAGATTCTTGTAAGGTAAAGGCCAAAAAGGTTGCTAGACAGTTAAAAGATATATGGTATTAGAGAGAAAACAGCTAGCAAAAAAATGAATAGTTTGTTGGACAAGAAGATCACCTGAACTGTAATTATGAAGCTATCGCCAGTGCCTGGTTAGTTTAGCTTAGCATACATTTTAGCAACAGAACTAGTGTATTGTAGTCCTAAGCACATTCCTTGAAAGTCAATACCCCTCAGATATTGAGACCGTGTAAGTAGTCCTTGACTTTTAACCCGGAAGTTTCTGTCATGGATGTCGGATCACACCGCTGTGAGGTCCTTGAGCTTTGGGAAGTGTCATGCTCCCATTATTACCCTCCCTGGGCTTTTACAACACCCCAATGATACTCATATTCCACAGGTCAACTGAGAAACGGTGAAAAAGGGGCGTCAAAGTTTGGTAGAGTCACGTGAATGGTCTGACAACTGACATTTTACAGTCGGAAAGAATGGCTTCACACATGCCTTAGGGAAGATTTTACTGGCTCTTTCAGTCACTGTGTGTGTGTGGCACTTCCACTAAATCTGTAACTAATCCATTTCCCACAAGAATGAGCCTCTCCATCTCAGTATCACTGGTTTACGACACAACATCCACATGCTCAGCTCCGGCTGGCGAGTAAACAAACATGTGTTTGTGATGTTTATCGTATCTGGCTTGAGGTTTTACAATTTAGCATACAGTTTCATCATGAAAAGTACTGTCGAACAACCGCTCAGAGCACGGTGCTAATCAGGGACAGATCCGGTGTAACAGAAGAATGGATGTAAGAAAAAAAGACAATCCAGCTTTTGCCAAAATATGTCAAAGTACTTTGTCGTAAATAGAGTAAGCTGCGTATGTTACAGATATGGCACTGATTGTATTGTGTAGTCCTGAGGCTTGGAATCCATTTTAATCTACCAAAAAATGCATATGTATGGAAAACAATAACTTCTATATTTTTCAGCCGTCAGACCCTTTTTTTTAACCCAAAGGGACAACTTCCCTAATAGCACGTTTCCACCCATGGTTGGGGTTTCAGAGCAGTTTGCTGGTGGTCTTTGGTCATCAATAGCTTGTGTATACCAAGAACACTTGCTGTTTGAAAATCAACATTTTATTGAAAAGAAAATCTCATTCACTACATATTCAGTCTGAATTTAAGAGAAGGTGGAAGGACATTTTGTCAAAGGTCCGTGTCACTGGGTGGCTGGTTATTAGTGTCACAGGCCATCACCTTCAGCCTGGATTAAATCTTCATAAAGAGCCTGAGCAATGTCCCAGACTGAACTCCATACGACAGGATTTAGTGAAATGCGTCTAAATTAGCGTGTGATAGTGTGTTAATGCCTCTGACTGAGTTTTTTTTTTCTCCCTTCTTGGCCATGTGAAAGCAGCAATCAGCCAATACAAACTGGATCAGGTTAATGGTTTACTAATGGATGTTGTTCTTGAGTAATAGGCAAATTCACCGCCAAGTTTTGACATGTACTTGTGAATTGGGATGGGCAACAGCCTACTTACACTGTTTTATTAACCTTGGCGGAAGGGTGTAGCATGGGAAAAGGAAGAACCAATTAGATTTTGGAGTGGATCCAAATTAGAGAGCGGACGATTTACCCAGACATTATGGGACATCCCAAACAATGCAATGGACAGATTTGAATGTACCATAACGTGTAGGTTTCAGACATGGGTTTCATGGAAAGAGAGAGGCATACCATTCTGAATATTATTAAATAAAATACAACATGTGCCACTTTTAACGTGACTTCCTGTATAAACCCCACCTACTTTTTGTCTTCTATTTCGATAAAGATACTGAGAAGCTACAGATATTTACGTGTCTGTTAACATCAAGTGCATACACATGTCATATTTACATTTTTGGGAACAACAAGATAGCCTTTACTGATGATGAAGGTTACTTTTTTTTTTTTTTTCATCCATACATTCATCCATCCATCTTCTCCCGCTTATCCGTGGTCGGGTCACGGGGGCAGCAGTTCCAGCTAATATTTCAATTAGTCTTCCGTGCAATACGAGGGGAATCGTGCAATTTAATTTATTATTTATTAATGTACATATTCCCTATCATGTCTATTTAAGTCCCATTTCTTGTTTTTATATTGTCTTGTTGTTTTCATATTGTCTTGTTGTTGCGTGTTGGCACCTTGAGTTCATTGTAATTTCGTTGTACCTGTACAATGACAAATTAAAGATCTATCTATCTGTCTATCTATCTATCCCAAGGCGCTCCCAGGCCAGCGAAGAGATATAATCANATATACACAGAACAACACAACGAAGGTAACACTCATGAAAAGCGACATTCGAGAGCGTGGGCAGACCAGAAACCGAGATGGCTCAAAGAATAGGAGAGAAGAGACTAGACATGCTGGACACACTGAAATTCTAGAGGTGGCCCCTTCACTGGGACACGTGGGAAGTTTGAGAAGTTCCTTGTGGATTGAAAGTGCACAACAACGCAAAGCTGCAGAGGATTGAAGCTATGAGGTTCAGTTGCCAGAGAGAAGTACCGACGCTTCTGCCTAAAGTCGACTCATCTGCACGAAAATCCCAGGTGACAGCTCGCGCCACTGGGAAGAGGAGCATGACTACCGATCTCACACGAGCTCGGAGATGCTCTCAGCAGCCTCCACCAGAGATCTATGTTCTGAGAGAAGAGGATGGAAACAGGAACCGACATACGCTACTACTTGCAGAAGATCAAGGAGGCCTAAAGCTTCAGCACCTATATACACGATCTTGGAAAGGCAACAAGGAGAGGGGCCAAATCACTCTGAAGAAAGACCAGGTTAACACACACACAAACCAACACACACACACACCTACACACTGTACCACACACACACACCTACACACTGTACCACACACACACACACTTAGTGTAGACATACTGCCTGGATTCAATATAAACAACAACTGAGCCATGTACACACAGACAGAAATACATACACAAGCTTTACGCGATTTTCTTACCTAACCAAATTAGGTTCTAATAATAGTTTAATGCCGTCTGACTGAGACTGTAATATCTTAATTCATACATTTAAAGAGCTGCAATCAGCCAATAAAAACGTTGTTTTTGGTGTTTTTCCTTATAGGCCACTTAATTTTGACAGGAGGGATGGGCAATCTACTTTCAAAATACCACATTAGCCTTGTTGAGTGTAGCATCTTCAACTGAATAGTCTTTATTAATTTTCAAACTGGATTTGATAGCATACATTTATCAGATATTAGGCCTAACAATTAAGAACAGCTATGACCATACGTGTAGGTCGGAATGGGCATGAAAATACCAAATTCTGTATTTTCTTTTCTCATTTATCAACAGTGCCACTTAACGTTTCAAGATAACGACTTACTTTTTTATTTCAAAGTCTTGATATTTATGTGTTAAATCAACAGACACATATCGTGTGTGTTGAATATGTTTAACTTGATGATTATTCCACCCATACATTCATGCGATTCATAGCTCCTGCTTATGCATGGTGTTGACACTCTTGCAAGTTTGCTCAGTTAAATTTAAACTATAGTACAGCCTTCAGTGTAAATACGAGGGATCGCGCAATAATTTTATATTCTTATTTACTGGTACATACTTTCGACACTATCATGTCTATTTAGAGTCCCATTTCTTGTTTTTATATTGTCTTGTTGTTTTCATATTGTCTTGTTGTTGCGTGTTGGCACCTTGAGTTCATTGTAATTTCGTTGTACCTGTACAATGACAAATTAAAGATCTAGGTCTACTCACAAAGCAGCTAACAGCGCTAATCAGCTCAAAAGTTAACTAGCCTCATGACAATAAATATTTGTTTCTGAGTAACTACGTCCAGAAACAGTTCAGAAGTTCAAAATCCCGAAGACTTCAACTTACAAAGACATACAGTACACTTAGGAAAAATGAATCGTCACACTTCTGAGCCGCGACCAATGAAACCATAACTACTTTTTTTCTTGCATTTTCGATTGTTTTTAATATCAACTAATTATTCGAAGAGGTTTCCCACACTTTTCAGACCATTTACCACAAACCAAGAGCACGTTCAAGGTGGCAAATCCCAACCCAGGTCACCGATTAGAGGGAGGGAGCCAACTCGCCTAGGGTGAGGTGGTGCCTTTGCGATGGGTTCATCTGGCCCTGGCGCAAAGGACCTAAGTCCCGAGAGCTGTTATGATAGTTGGCTGGGCAGAGGCGGTCTTTGCCGATGTTGATTCTGTAATTTGAGCCAAACCATTTTAGCGAGATAGTTTCTACATAATTTACCAGGGAGAAGAGGAGCAGTGGGGCGGGATATTGCAAATGGCTGGCAAATAGAGCTGGGCGGGGGGGAGAGGGGGGGTTCCAATGGTTCAAACGCAGGGGCGAGTGGACATGGACAACCAGCTGCAGTGAGAAGGCTCGACACAGCCATCCGAACACCTTCAGTAGGAAATTTTGAACTGGAGCAGCTGTTGTGTGCATTACAAGGTTGGAACAATCCTTGTCAGATAGCCAACACTACGCAGCGCGGGGGAAGGCGAAGCACATCTGTGGACCTGAAGGATTCAGGCAGGCTTCATAGCCCACATACTGTAGTGGAAGGCAGATGGTATAGATTGAATCCATATAGGTGTGCCACGTATCACAGTGAGAGGTCATGATTTAGGTTGAAGCGAAGCCCTCTCTGGGTGGGGAAGCACGCATGGGTGGGACAGTTCTGTGAAGCTAGAAGTGCCTTCTCCGCTATTTATGATGGGTGATGGCAACAGGAGCCATAGTTCCACTCTGTTCAGGTGATGTCGAAGTGCTGACCGACATGAACGCAGTCACATCTGTGTCAGGGCAGATGCTTGACATCCCTGCCATGTTGTGTGCGTGTGTCTATCAGGCTTATATGCATCAATATCCATCACACACGAAGTCTGTATCTAACTGAATATCTAGACCTTGTGAGATAATCGCATGGAACAGGTCATTATTGTTTTCTCTATATCACTTTTGAAAACCGCTTGTGTGGAGAACAGAATGATTAGCTGTGTTTGCTCTTTTGCCTTGATCCTTTGGATCTGCACTTATTATTCAGGCGCAAAAGTCACCAGTGCTATGCATAACGTGGATTTCGTTTGCGACTTAATTCAGCAAATGGCAGATCCGTAGAGGATTGATCTGAGATACCTGGTCACATCCATACTGAGGCCGCATTAATGTTCGGTGTTTTGTGTGTAATGTAACTGTGTGTTGCGTTAGGTACTATGAGGATAGGCGTCCTCAAACAACGTATGTGTATACAACAAATGCAAGCTCTATCTTATGCTGCTATGTTCAGTGTGATACTGGGATGTGTGTGTGTGTAAGACGCATATGTTAGGTTATTAAATCATGCGTGTGTGTGTGTGTGTGTGTGTGTGTGTGTGTGTGTGTGTATGTTGTGTGTGTGGTGTGTGTGTGGTGTGTGTGTGTGTGTGTGTGTGTGTGTGTGTTGTGTTGTGGTGTGTCGACCGTGAGTCTTCTATGACGAGTGATATGGCCCCTCTCCTTGTTGCCAGACAAGGCAGAGCTGAGTGACCTGTGTAGGACTGCTCTCCTGCTCGCACTGGATGATTGTAGTTGGCGGCGATGATAGCCGGTTATCTCTATCTGATCTGTCCCCTGGTGGATGACAAAGCTTTTTCAGTTGAAGTGGTGCAGCCCCAGTATTCTAATGTAGTGTTCATGAACATATTGCTCATTGTAGCTTTGTAACCTGCATGCTGACCTGCAAAGCAAAGACCAATTCAGGACTGTAAGTGCAATAGCTAATCAGCTCTTGATAACGTCTGTATGGTACAATGCACTACTTTGAATGATGTGCGATTCAAAGAAATATAAGTGGTCTTATTCAACACATATAGTTCCACACATGTATACAAAATAGAGCTTCACATAATACTATATATTGATAAGGAATATTTGACTTGGACTTTATTAAAGTCTTCATATAGCACTGAAAGTAACTAAAAGTCAAAACTAAGGAAACAGAATTTGTTTCCATCTATGCAAGAACTGCGTAGCATCTATGTATACTCAGACTTATGAGACGCATATTACTCGTTTCTAACCTCAACCACAATAACTCTATGTCTCCTGATAAACGAAGTCCTGGGAATGAAGAAGGTTATTGTGGATTGAGTCTTGCAACGAGTAGAAGCGTTCGAAGGCTGCTGATAGCATATGAAGTCTGCAGGTTTGCAGATGGCAATGTGTCCTGTTTGAGACCTTGTTTATACCACAATATGCATGCTTGTGTGTGAGTGTGTCCGTAGTCTGTATATGTCGTGTGTAGTGTATGTGTGTCTAGTGCTTCAGTCCACTTTGTATGTCGTGTCATTGCTGGTGTCTGTGTTAATGATAGGCTGTTTCTTGCTGAGTGAGCATCCTTAAAAGTAGACCGACCCCATACACTGTCTATCTACCCCTGATCAGCTATTTGCACTTACAGTCCATACATGGCTTGCTACAGTTGTGTACTCAGGTTCTCAAAGCTACAATTAGCAATATGTCATGAACACTACATTAGTAAGAACTGGGCATGCGCCAGTCACTTGTAGGCTTTCTCCCTACCCAGGGGAAGATCAGAGAGGAAACCGCTTCTTCCCGGCCAACTTACATCATCCGAGTGCGAGCAGGAGAGGTGTCTACACTGTTTTTCACTCGCTCCTTTGGGTTCAACAAGGAGAGGGGCCAAATCACTCTGAAGAAAGACCAGGTTAACACACACACAAACCAACACACACACACACCTACACACTGTACCACACACACACACCTACACACTGTACCACACACACACACACTCACCACACACACACACACACACACACACACACACACACACACACACACACACACACACACACACACACACACACACACACCCACACGCATGATTATATAACCTAACCATATATGCGTCCTAAAAATAAACCTAATCCCAGTATCCCTAAACTGAACATATTAAAATAAAGATTTAAGAGCTTGAAATTTGTTGTATATAAAATATGTTGTTTGAGGACAGTTTATCCTCATAAGTACACTAACACAACACACAGTGTTTACATTACACACAAATACACCGACACATTAATGCGGCCTAAAGTACTGTGTGACCAGTTCTCAGATCAATTCTCTATGGATCTTTTGCTTAATTAAGTCAAACTAAATCCACTGTTATGCATACACTGGTGACATTTTAAGCCTTAATAATTAATAAACACAATGATCCAAAGGACGAAGGCAAAAATAACAAACACAGTAATTATTCTGTTCTCCACACAAGGGTTTTCAAAAGTGAATCAAAGAAAAAACATAATGACTTCCAGTTCAATTAATTCAACATGGTCTAGATATTCAGTTAAATACAGACATCGTGTGTTGATGGATATGTGATGGATATAAAAGCATGAATAGACACACGCACACACACATGCAGATGTCAAGCATCTGCCCTGAGACAGATGTTGACTGCTTCATGTTTGGTCACTGACATCTGAAACAGAGTGGAACTTCGCAGCTGTTTTAATGTAAACCTTGTAGTAAATTATCTGCACATTAACTTTAAATTCTTGTTCTTCAGGTGAAAACTTTGAAACTAGTAAGCATTAGGCCTCCCATTTATTGTTTTTATAGTGTCTTGTTGTTTTTATATTGGCTTGTTGTTGCGTGTTGGCACCTTGAGTTTATTGTAATTTCGTTGTACCTGTACAATGACAAATTAAAGATCTATCTATCTGTCTATCTATCTATCCCAAGGCGCTCCCAGGCCAGCGAAGAGATATAATCACTCCACCTGGTCCTAGGTCTACCCCTCGGTCTCTTCCCAGCTTCGGCATCCTAGGTGCCCAAACCACCTCAACTGGCTGCTTTCGATGCGAAGGAGGAGCGGTTCAAACTTATCCCTAAGGGAGACGCCAGCCACCCTGCGGAGAAAACCCATCTCGGCCGCTTGTATCCGCGATCTCGTTCCTTCGGTCATGACCCATCCTTCATGATCATATTTTTATTTAGATTACTGTAATGAATTTAGGTGGCTCCCAGTGAAAGGTTAAACGTGTATGTTTCAGCCTTTGGTTTCATGGAAAGAGAGAGGCTTAAAAATGTCACTGCCAGTGAATATTATTGAGTGAAATACAACATTTGCCTCTTTTAACGTGACTTCCTTATAAACCCCGCCT